GAATCGTATGTTGATTTCGCTCAGAAAAATAAATAAAGCGAAGAGCTCGCTTTTGGAGCTTGAGAAGCTTACACAACGTATTAGATGACACGCGGCACGCTTCAGCTAGCGCAAGGATGCCCAGTTCATCCATTTGTTATTTGCCTCTCTGGCAGAAGCGATTCTGAGTTTCTGATCGAGCTACAAAAATGTCCGTCTGAATATTGAAAGGACACAGCAACATTAACTGTCTCACGGAATACATACGACGCGACGCGAGGTTAAAAAGTAAAAATTTTACGAAGAATGTATGAACTCATCAGCAGAGGTCGCACTATGCTGTCCAAACGTGATTGAAAACGTCAGCGGAGATAATTGTTCTTTTTTATTAACACTGAAAATCGTTTAGGAAAATACCCGTTTACAGACGTAAGGCGTGTGAACAGGGCTTTAGTTGCTATTCTTTGGTTTTATGTTTTTCTTTTTTTCTCATACTCAAGCTGCAAAAACAAACTCCTGTTTAAGATATTTTTTTATGAATTGATGCCGTCTCCATGTTTCTCTCTGTTGTGACTTGCGCCAATGTTGAAAAGCAGCTGGTAATTAGAACATGTAATATTCACAGCAGAGCTTTTCTCTTTGTTTTAAAACTTCATGTTTTGCTCACTTAACGGTAAAACGCTTCTGAAAACAATAGCCGTGGAATCTAAACGGCTGCGGTATTCTTCACGGGCGTTTTTGCTGATGTTAACTAGGATTTCCTTTCTTTTCGGTAATCGAGCAATGACTATTTAGAAATAATTACAACCACCGTGATTTTTGGCGTGCCACTATTTTATTAGCTAAGAATACTAATAATTCTGCAAAGTAAAAATTGAACGGAGTAAAATATTTGATTTTCCTACTCAGTTCATTTGGAATTTAATTGCAATTTAGCTTCGCAAATTTAACAACAAATTGTTCAAAGGAACTAATTGGTCAATCGATGGAAATACATCCTTATAGTGCCTCGAAATACATCCTTATAGAATCCATTGTTTCGTCAGCCGTCACTTCTGTTGAAGAGATTGTTTGTTGGTATTATTAACCCCAAAACGCTTTACACCAAGGAGAAAAAATGTTCAACCCATAACACTATTCCCACAGAAATTCATTTTGCTAGTTTTTCCTAGTCATTACATCTTTGTTGGGTTTAGGTACAATTCTTGGAATTCGCATCGGAGAATAGAAACATTGAAATATTGAAGCTTTGTGATTATATTTTTTCTAAGACATGTTCATTTGTGTTTGTCTTGTTTAGCGACACTTAAGCTTTGGACGGGTTGTTACCTTTTCGTATGTAGTTATGTGCTTCAATCCTTATGCATGACATGTGCAATAATTAAACTTGTTTTTTATATACACATCCTTTTTACAGTCTACAAAATACTTTTACTGATATACTTTTTAATCGGAATCCAGCTACCCATGTTTCACCGCTTTTTCATTGGCTTTTCTTGTGGAAAGATTACTTGAAAGCAGCTGCTGCTAAGTGAAAACTCGACTTCATTCTTTTCATTTGGCAATGCCGAGCTTTCCAGTTGACGTGCGAAAACTTGCTCCTCACAAGACGACGAATCTAGAAGATGACCGTCATGGTAAATTATCTTAGTGCGTAGTTTGATTTCTCTTCGGTATTCCTGTATTCCGTCATACGATTTGGCCGCACTATGGTCTCGAGCAGCAGTGACTTTGTCACGAAAGATTCTAACCATGCGCCCGAAGTGTTTTTCTGTCCCACAAAACCAATATTTACATGGATATTAAGTGACACATCCACATTCCAAGCTACGATCAGCATTTCATGTATTGCTTGCCCGATCACCGTTTTCCTAAACATCTTGGTAATCATTGCAGTGAAGAAAAGGAAAGAGTTTCAAACCAATTCCAACACTTTGCTTGCCAACTTGGCTGCCGCGGATCTATTAGTCGGCGCTGTCTCGATGCCTTTGACAATCGCTTTGGACGCCTTACTTCTCCAAAAGGTTGTCGGCTACTGGATTTGCAGACTAGCGTTTACAAATCAACTGGTGCTGTATGCTGCTGTCTGTTCGTCTTTATACCATATGACTTTGATCGCTTGGGAGAGATACGTGGCGACAAGAAAGTGGAACTGCTACAAAGCGATTGTCACCAAGAGGCGAGTGAAGACGTACACAGCAATAGCGTGGCTGTTAGCTGTACTAACCACGACTCCTGTACGTATTCTTACGGTTCTAGGACTCGACTATAAGTACACTAAGATCTTGGACACGATCTTCTTTCTTCCAGCCTTAGTTTGCTTAGTTCTCATCGGGTATTTTTATATCATGTTGTATCTCGGTGTGCGCGCATGGAAAAAAATAAGCGACGTTAGCCAACTGGGAGCCCCTACTGAGATGGCAGCGAGGCGGGAACTTGGTATTGCGAAGAGGGTTTTCATTCAGACAGTTGCCATGTTAATATTTTACCTCCCATCGAGTATCGTTCTTTTCTGCGGAGAGTTTTTACCCTTCCTTCGAACAAGCTCGTTTTTCCGTCGTTCGGAGTTGCTGAATCAGCTGAACTCGCTGGTAAATCCATTTCTCTACGTTTTGGCACTGAAACGTTTCAGAAAGGCAGTTCTGGGAATGCTGAAGATGGGCAGAAAACCTGGAGTGCAGGGAGCGGCTGTTAGAAAACGACGTTTGAAAACTTTCGGTAGGCGGATTGGTGTTGTTGAGAATCTGGAAGTCGTCCTTGAGTGTGAACAAGTACAAGACGACGTTTTTGTTGGATCAGGATCGGGATGTTCAGACACGCCTAAAGGCACTGTTAATGTGATACATCTGGAGCCGATCCTGGAAAGATGCGTGGCGTCTACTTTACCATGTGAAATCAGCCAAATCATTCATGTCGACGTGCATCAACCCAAAACAAACAGAAGAAAACCAAGAAGAAAGGCTAATGGTGTGGTCACAAGGGTTATTCCTACTGACGCAAGCTTCAATGTTTGCGACACCATATCACAAGACAATCACTGACCCGAGAAGAAACTACGTTCGTCTGAAAAGGTCTGAAGGAAAGGTCTGAAATGAGGCATGGATGAAACGTAACACTATCATCACACAAAACATTAGCTACAGGTGAATCTGTTTCAAAGAATCTTGCAACGAGTTGTCGGGAGAACTAAGCTAGCTATCATGTCTTCATAAGCTAGGTTATGTCGCGCCATCATAGTTAGCAGCCATAATAGCGTGGCAACGTTTCTAGAACTCTCGAGAGTTCATTGGCTATTACAAATCTAAGACTTGTGTGACTTAACGAACGCTTAACGAAAATTGGGTGTACAAGTGTACTAAGTTCTTGCCTGCCCTTGTCAAGAAGACAGTGATGAGAACGGAGAAATAAAATAAAAACAAAAACAGGACCAACTTGGAGATATTGTCTTGATTTACTTTCAAATTCTCAGAAACGACATTGAAAAAAATTATGACAGTTGGCACTTCACTTCGGGCTTGGAACTTAAAGTAAAATAATAATAAAAAAAACGTTATGCATTTGGTTGTCGAATAGCACCAATTACAATCGTAATTTTGTATGTGAAGCAAACGTTCCCTCTGCTTCTGCTACCAAACGAGCAAATCGGTGATGCTTGAGTGCAGCTAGTTAGTGGTTTTGACAAGTTTTGCAAAGATCGCCGGAAAGTAAGTCCCACCATTTGTTTTAAAGAAATTTGGCCAGTTTCCTCTCAATCACGGTGTCTTTGCGTGTTAGTCTCGAGGTCCTTGGTGAATTCGCACGAATCGTAAGGTTGACAAAATCCGGCTCAAACCCGTTTGCAAAATATATAATTTTTGTATCATACTTTTGGGTAATTGTAAAGGTGTCTTGTTGAAGCTGACTTGGAAAACGAAACCAAATATTTACGTCCGTGTTACCTCTAACGCTCGTGATGTATATTTACACCGGGAATAAAAACAATAAAACAATAACGGAAATGCTAAACCTTTGAAATCGACAGAAAACTTACAAAACAATCCACACTAAACTAGATGAAAACTGGAAGCTGTATGAAACTGACCATGAAATGTACAAATAAATCGTTCCTTTTCTTTCAAGTGATTTTAGCGATGATAATGCGTAACATGGTATTAGAAAACGCATTTTTTTCCCAGCTGTCAGAAGCAGAAAATAACAAGTGCATGAGAACATGTCCGTTAAATATAGGTGTTCCAACAGTAGGCGTAAATAATAAGAATGAATTCATTAAAGTAGCACTCAAATTCAATGGAACGAAAAAATTAATTGCTTCTTTAACGTGTTTACAAAAAAATGGTCAATTTTCTCGCGGACTGAATACACTTTAATTAACTTACTCCTCGTGTCTTCTCGTATTTGGATGGAGTTTGAATGTGCTAGGGGGGAGGGCAAAGGAGGCAATGGGAGGGGCTGGTTGTAATAAAACTAGCAGGTTCAATCCAGACTCGGAAATAAGGCAACTTTAAATCCAATCACGGCACAACTTGGGAGCGTTTCACGCTTCTTACGTGAAGCATGCACTCTGGTCATAGGGTAAACGTTTTGTTGCCGTTAGGTACTATCTGGTCATGATGTATGTTTGCTGTTTTTGTTGTTGTTGTTGTTTTGTTTAGTGACGATGGTTATCCTGGCCTTTTATAAGCAGATTGGTTGAAGCCCAGTTGTCCAAGTAACAACTCACTATTTCTAGCCTTAAGCCTTTGTCTGGATTTCCCCCGCCCTCTCCTCCCCTGTGACTGTAATCTATCTTCCCTCCTGTACGACACCTAGGCATCCTTTCTCGGATTCTCGTAACAAAGACTTTGTAAAATGTCTCAAAACAGATGCTATTTGGAAATGTTGAATAGCACAGTTGATTTTGTTTGAAGACTGTCAGAGTGTCATAGACACGAAATCACGGTTTACTGAGTGAGTACTGTATCTTCTCTGATATACTCTTGTGTTCTACCATGTGGAAACAAAATGAACCATGGTAAATCAAACCTTGCCATGAAAGTTTCAAGCCACGCACCAGATGTGTTTACCTGCAAAAACGAACCAATATTCTCATGGATTTTAAGCGACACGACCACATTCCAGGCTGCGATCACCACGAAATGCATTACCTGCCCGATTATCATTCTCTTAAACGTTTTAGTGATCGTCGCTGTGGCGAAAAGAAGACAGTCGCAGAAAAACTCGAACATTTTGTTGGCTAGTCTCGCTGTCGCGGATTTTTTAGTGGGTGCCATTTCCATGCCTTTGTCTATTAGCCTAGATGCGTTGCTCCTCGATAAGAATACTACTGTAGACGAGTCTTTTTGTAGACTAGCGTTTGCCAATCAACTGGTGGTGTATGCTGTTGTCTGTTCGTCTTTATACCATATGACTTTGATCGCTTGGGAGAGATACGTGGCGACAAGAAAGTGGAACTGCTACAAAGCGATTGTCACCAAGAGGCGAGTGAAGACGTACACAGCAATAGCGTGGCTGTTAGCTGTACTAACCACGACTCCTGTACGTATTCTTACGGTTCTAGGACTCGACTATAAGTACACTAAGATCTTGGACACGATCTTCTTTCTTCCAGCCTTAGTTTGCTTAGTTCTCATCGGGTATTTTTATATCATGTTGTATCTCGGTGTGCGCGCATGGAAAAAAATAAGCGACGTTAGCCAACTGGGAGCCCCTACTGAGATGGCAGCGAGGCGGGAACTTGGTATTGCGAAGAGGGTTTTCATTCAGACAGTTGCCATGTTAATATTTTACCTCCCATCGAGTATCGTTCTTTTCTGCGGAGAGTTTTTACCCTTCCTTCGAACAAGCTCGTTTTTCCGTCGTTCGGAGTTGCTGAATCAGCTGAACTCGCTGGTAAATCCATTTCTCTACGTTTTGGCACTGAAACGTTTCAGAAAGGCAGTTCTGGGAATGCTGAAGATGGGCAGAAAACCTGGAGTGCAGGGAGCGGCTGTTAGAAAACGACGTTTGAAAACTTTCGGTAGGCGGATTGGTGTTGTTGAGAATCTGGAAGTCGTCCTTGAGTGTGAACAAGTACAAGACGACGTTTTTGTTGGATCAGGATCGGGATGTTCAGACACGCCTAAAGGCACTGTTAATGTGATACATCTGGAGCCGATCCTGGAAAGATGCGTGGCGTCTACTTTACCATGTGAAATCAGCCAAATCATTCATGTCGACGTGCATCAACCCAAAACAAACAGAAGAAAACCAAGAAGAAAGGCTAATGGTGTGGTCACAAGGGTTATTCCTACTGACGCAAGCTTCAATGTTTGCGACACCATATCACAAGACAATCACTGACCCGAGAAGAAACTACGTTCGTCTGAAAAGGTCTGAAGGAAAGGTCTGAAATGAGGCATGGATGAAACGTAACACTATCATCACACAAAACATTAGCTACAGGTGAATCTGTTTCAAAGAATCTTGCAACGAGTTGTCGGGAGAACTAAGCTAGCTATCATGTCTTCATAAGCTAGGTTATGTCGCGCCATCATAGTTAGCAGCCATAATAGCGTGGCAACGTTTCTAGAACTCTCGAGAGTTCATTGGCTATTACAAATCTAAGACTTGTGTGACTTAACGAACGCTTAACGAAAATTGGGTGTACAAGTGTACTAAGTTCTTGCCTGCCCTTGTCAAGAAGACAGTGATGAGAACGGAGAAATAAAATAAAAACAAAAACAGGACCAACTTGGAGATATTGTCTTGATTTACTTTCAAATTCTCAGAAACGACATTGAAAAAAATTATGACAGTTGGCACTTCACTTCGGGCTTGGAACTTAAAGTAAAATAATAATAAAAAAAACGTTATGCATTTGGTTGTCGAATAGCACCAATTACAATCGTAATTTTGTATGTGAAGCAAACGTTCCCTCTGCTTCTGCTACCAAACGAGCAAATCGGTGATGCTTGAGTGCAGCTAGTTAGTGGTTTTGACAAGTTTTGCAAAGATCGCCGGAAAGTAAGTCCCACCATTTGTTTTAAAGAAATTTGGCCAGTTTCCTCTCAATCACGGTGTCTTTGCGTGTTAGTCTCGAGGTCCTTGGTGAATTCGCACGAATCGTAAGGTTGACAAAATCCGGCTCAAACCCGTTTGCAAAATATATAATTTTTGTATCATACTTTTGGGTAATTGTAAAGGTGTCTTGTTGAAGCTGACTTGGAAAACGAAACCAAATATTTACGTCCGTGTTACCTCTAACGCTCGTGATGTATATTTACACCGGGAATAAAAACAATAAAACAATAACGGAAATGCTAAACCTTTGAAATCGACAGAAAACTTACAAAACAATCCACACTAAACTAGATGAAAACTGGAAGCTGTATGAAACTGACCATGAAATGTACAAATAAATCGTTCCTTTTCTTTCAAGTGATTTTAGCGATGATAATGCGTAACATGGTATTAGAAAACGCATTTTTTTCCCAGCTGTCAGAAGCAGAAAATAACAAGTGCATGAGAACATGTCCGTTAAATATAGGTGTTCCAACAGTAGGCGTAAATAATAAGAATGAATTCATTAAAGTAGCACTCAAATTCAATGGAACGAAAAAATTAATTGCTTCTTTAACGTGTTTACAAAAAAATGGTCAATTTTCTCGCGGACTGAATACACTTTAATTAACTTACTCCTCGTGTCTTCTCGTATTTGGATGGAGTTTGAATGTGCTAGGGGGGAGGGCAAAGGAGGCAATGGGAGGGGCTGGTTGTAATAAAACTAGCAGGTTCAATCCAGACTCGGAAATAAGGCAACTTTAAATCCAATCACGGCACAACTTGGGAGCGTTTCACGCTTCTTACGTGAAGCATGCACTCTGGTCATAGGGTAAACGTTTTGTTGCCGTTA